AATATTATAATGTTATTATTGCAAAGTATTTTAATTCTGTCTCTAATATAGATAACAATACCACAAATAATGTCTTATTAAAATGCAACAGCTGTCAAAAATTTTTATCTTTAAATAACTTCATTAAAGACACTTATCAACATAAAACTTGCAATACTTGTCGTTACAATTCTTCTTTGCAATACAAATGGTCCAATAAATCTAATACTGAAACTGATTCTTTAACGCCAAAAGAAATGTCAAGACTGTTGTATGAAAAAATTTTAGCTGCAAATGCAAATGAATGTTTAGAAAATGATTCAATGGGTATTGATTTTGAATGTGAGCTTTTAATTAACACTATGGATGGTAATCCAAAAACATTATCAAAAAAAATTGTTGAACTAATAGGTGAGAGTGATGGATATTATTATATCTATAGAAATTATTAAAATTCAAAAAAATCATCTAATATTTTAGCCTTCTGGTATAAATGCCCTCAATGCCGATTGCTTGTAAAAAGACCCAGGAAACATGAATCTGTTGAAAACCAAAGAGATTGAATACCAATTGAGCAATTTAGTTGTGAGTTAACTATTTTTAACAATTTTAATAAGAGTAAGCTGATTTAATTTGTTTGTTTATTATTATTTAACTTGAGTTCTTTGCAAGACCTCTGTTAAAAAAATTAATATTTGAGCATAAGTATAACCAAAATTTGAACTTTAGTAGTTAAAATCTCTACCTTAGTTATATCTTCAAAAATATTTTTAAAAAAAGAAGTAAATAACTCAGATACAACTATATAATATAAAATTATAATTTTTGACTTTTTAATATTTTAAAGTATTTATTATAAATTATCTACTTACTAATCAAAAAATTTTTTACAAAATTTTTTTTTTAAAAAGCAGGTGCTTTTCCATTATAACTTTTTATTAAATAAACTGTATAATTATGATTACAACTTATTATTTAATGTCGGAGATGATGCTGAAATCAGATGATGCTGAAATTTTGACTTATTTTATTATGAAAATGTAAAAATTTTTTGGGGTGTTTTGTTTAGCTTTTTTTTC